ATGAAATAGTTGTGTATAATGAAATAGTTGATACAAATAAAAATACACAATTGCGTTTACAAAATGTGTAGATAAAAGATAATTTAGAAGTTTAATAATTAACGCAAGAAAACTGTCAACAGATCATTGTTCTGATAATGACAATCAAAATTGTTTTAAAACATTGTAACCGAAAAAGTGTTTAAATCTATAAGTTTTTTAATATCAATAAATATATGGAAAGATTGCATAAGTTGAGCATGTTATCAGCAAGGTTTAAAAAAACGCTGCGGTGAGGCGGTGAGGCGTGCGCGTTTTTAAACTTTGACTATTGTCAAGTTTTAAAAATTTTTGCAAAAATCGTACGCCTCACAACCTCACCGCTACGTTTTTTTAAACCTTGGTTATCAGTGTATTGTTCTTTGCAACCAAAATATTATAATATATTTATAGATTTTTGCAGATTATCATAATTTATTCTTTCCTCTCAAAGAATATAAATGAATAGTTCATTAAAAAAAAAAAAATCTTTAAACCAACACACTCAATCGTCTCATCTTAAGAAACTAGTTTTTTAAGTTGATCTTTTTCAAAAAAATTCAAAATAAAAAAATGCTCACAAAATAAAATAAAATCGTATCTTTAAAAAATAGACAAAATTAAAAATATCTCAACCATAAAATAAAAACAATAACAAATCTTTCCTATCTCTAAAAATAGTATCTTTGCGATACTATTTTTTGAAAAAACATTCGCTCTTGAAATACTAAAATAAAGCTCCGTGGCTTTAAAAAAACGCACTTTCTAAAATAAAATGCGCATCTCATCTTGTGTCTCAAAAGATATCATCTTAAGCAACTTCACCGATTGCTATCATAACTTAAATAGAATGGCAACAGCTTAAGTATTATCCTTAGCTATATCCTATGATTTATTACCGATGGAATTGGCAGTAGATAAACATAAAATATTGAGGATATAACATGTTTTTGATAACCTTGTTTTGTTCTGACTAAAATATTTAATAAAAATTATAACAGAAATGTTATTTTTTTTTCAACAATAAAACAGTGAAAGAATATTAACTATACAACAAAGTAATTAAAAGAAATAACACCGTCGAATTTGTATCAATATACTTAACCAAAAAGATTCGCAGCCTACCCGTAAATAAGGTTATACCATATTAGGAACCTGCTCATCTTATGCAACCTTTTCCTACCAATTTTTCTAGGGCTGTGGAGTCGGAGTCGGAGTAAGAGTTGCGGAGTTGCTACATTTTTAGCGGAGTCGGAGTCGCTAAAAAAAATCGCGATTCCGATCCCAATAATAAAATTTCTCGATATTGCATGTGCATTTACAAAACATTCAATTAACCATATGTTCATATTAAACCTCAAAGAACGTTTCGTGAAATTGTCAAAAAAAAAAATTCAACTTATTGCGTAATATTTTTTAAAGAATTCAAAGAATTTTTTAAAAATTTTGCTTTGGAGTTGGAGTCGGAGTCGGAGTCGGAGTTGTGCTCAAAAAATTTCAAAAACTGGAGTCGGAGTCTCGTTCATTTGCAGTAAACGTGTGAAAAAGTTTCATAATCATTATTTTAGGAAAACACACGTTGGCGAAAATTTTCAAAAAATTGACAGTAAAAATTTGAAATTATTAAATAGCAACTTTGTCACGTCTTTTAGCAAACTTATAATCTTTTTAAATCAGAAATAGATGAAGTTGTAGCTGAAATTCTAAAGCATAGTTCTTTTTATTTGCATACGTTTGAATTTAAATTCAAAACAAACAAAAATAACAAGCTCAGAATCACTACAACCATCATTTAAACCAAACAAATCCAAAAAATAATTTAATTTAAAAATGTTTTAGTTGTTCAACTGTCTTTCATCCGTCATATTCATCTGTCATGCAATATATGATATTGTCATAGTGATTAAATGTATTTATAGTCATATCAATTCATACGAATGTAAAGATGTAAACTGGTTTCAAAGATAGAGACTCTTTACCAACATAAGTATTTTGATTGTAGATAGTGATTAATAATATTTATCAAACTGCTTTTGTTACAACTGCAAATCGTCGGATGAGAATCATAGGGTTCTATTTGCATTTTTTTTAATGTTGTGAAATCTTAACTTTCAATATTTGATTATTAAAATATTTCAATTATTCTTTAAAATAATAATTTATTAGCTGTTTATGTTATTTAGATTTAATTATCTACCATACATTATTATTCATAATATTTTTTAAGTTGTTTGTTTTTATTATTAATTATTAATTAAAACTAATTAATTAGAACCTTGAAAATATCATGTGACAAAATTTAGATAGTCGCAATATTGTTAGATAGCAAACTTACTTATAAGCAGACTTGAAACTCAGTAGATAGCAAACTTATTTATAAGTAGACTTGAAACTCAGTAAAAATTTTTAAACAAATAAAGTATTAATCATTTTAATCAATTAATTTCTTCATACATAAAAATTTATGATATTCTTCAAAGTTCTAATTCTTTAGGTTTTAATATTTAAGAATTGTATAATATAAATCAATAACACATGACAATAACAAAACACGTGATGATAAAAACTTTTAACAAATTAATTTTAGAAAGCTTAAATATCTTTACTGTTTTTTAGACCCCTTCCTAAAACTCTTTTATTAATAAATTCTCAGTAACAGTATTAAAGCTAAATAGTACAATGGCTGTATGCAATGTTTAATAAACTCTATTAACTTTAATTAAACATTTTTGAGAACTTTTTCGGTCTTTTATATATGCTCTCCCACAAATCAGCGAGGAAGAGACTAGACTCTTATCCACATATGGCTAAATTTCCTGAATGAAAAGTTTTCTATCAATAAATTTAAATCACGCAAAGAAAACTTCAACAACTCATAAACTAAACGCGACTAAAGTATTTAAGAAGCTTTTTAAAATCATTGTTTAGTTTTTTAAACAACTTTTTCTTGTCTTCTAAGGTTAAAGCTACTGCACGTTTTTCTTTTAACATTTTGTTGGTAAGTTTTTTATAAAGAAAAAAGTTTTTATATTTAAGAACTTTATTAATTATTAATGTTTCGACAACATAAACAAGTTTTGAACCAAAACTTGGATAAAGAAAATAAGTTATAAGTTAGCAACCACGAGATAATTAGACACAGAACTCTTATAGTTTGAATAGTATATAAAATAAGTGAAGTTCAAAACTCCCAATGAGGGAGTTCAACTTTACAAGGTCATAACTTTTGGAAAAAAAAATACAGATAAATTTTAGTCTTGTTTATTATAATAATTTTTAATGTTATTACCGCCACATTACAAATATTTGAACCTTGAGCCCAAACTTTAAGGTAAATGTTAAATAACACGTTAGTTACGGTGTAGTTACATAAAAAAATATAACCTACGTTCCCCTTCTTCATTTCCTATTGGTATACCGCAAAAAAATGTGTTGCTACATATTGTGAACGATTATTTATCGACTATTATAGATTAAAAAAAAAGTTTTACAAATAGTTATCCTTTCTCGTTTTAAAAAACCATGCAATAAAAAATCTCACAAAGATAATTAGTGGTAATTTTTACCTCTTATGTATAAAGCTATATAGCATGCGTTTAGAGGTTACATAAAATTACTTTTAAGTGTAATACATCCTGTATTTGTAGCTGCCATAAATGTCACAGGATAAAATACAGGATAAAAAAGCTACAAATAAAATGGGTAAAATGTAATCTTACATTTTACCCAATTTAGGTAAAAAAAAAGTAATAAATTTTAGGCAAACGGATATTCAAACGTTTTTTTAGGAGAGCTGTGAATCTACTGCCCCATGCCAGGGTACGTTTTACATTGAATACAAACCGCTCATATTTTAAATATGATGACATAAATCAAATAGTATTTAGAATATTTCTATATAAATTAAGTTACACGATTAGTGGTACCAATTCCTATTTTTTCACTTTTTTTTTTTCAAGGTTTTTGAAGTAATTTATAATTAAAAATTTTTTTTTATAGTATGAAGTAAATTGTGGCTAAATATAATTTATTCAAAAGCCTACATGATGTGGAAAGTTAAAGAAAATAAAAAACTAAGTTTGGTTTTGAAAAACAAGTTGTATTTAATATGAGACCTTTATAAAAACATTACAGTAAGCTCAAGACTGCTAAAATATTTTATAAAGGTCTCAACAAAAGAAGAATTAGTAGCAATAGTGAAAGGATCACCAAGAGATGCACTATTAAAAATACTGTCAGAGCCACTAGAAGTTGAAATAGTATTTAATTAAAACATAGAAGTTGCTTTTTAAGGATTTGCTTCCTTTAATTTTTATAGTAACAATGCATTTAAAATTGCGACATTTTTATTTTTATGACTAGTTTAATAGCAAAATATTTTTCTTAACATATTTAAAAATCGAAGTTTTTATAAATATTTTCAAATTATTTATAAATATATTTAGAGGCGCAACATAAACGAAAAACATTATAAACTCGAATTAAAAAAAAATTATTGCATTCAATTAATATAATAATTTTTTATTAATTTAAAAAATATATAAAATACTGTGTCATCGGCCCTGTAATAAAATCATCAAAACCGGATAAAGATAAACATATCAATTATAAATAATGTCTTTAAATATTTAAAATCTGTTAAAGTTGCATGTCTTTACTTGGTCGCATATTTAAACGATTAAAAAACCTTTGAAGATATTTTAGTATACTATTTTGAATCATAATTAACAAGGTGCAAATGCACTTTTTACGTTTTTTTAAATAAAAACTAAACTAATGCCAACAATAAAATAACAAGAATGCTTTGCTGGTAACTCAAAAATATGGTAATACAAAACTCAAGAATTTTGTTTGACCTCTAAAAAAATGTGGAAATTTCTACTTTAGGGTAGGGTATGTGATATACCCTTTGTAAGGTATAATTTTCTACCTTTTAAAGTAGAAAATTATATCTTTAAGGGAGTAAATTGCATAAAAAACCATTATTTTTACTACAATTTTCTAACTCAGAAATTTTAAAATTATTAAAATTAATTAAAGTTCTGGTTTCAAAACTGGAAGTTCGTGGTTCGAAGCCGGCTGTGGCCATATACACAACATTAGTAAGGAAGGAGGCGTGAACTTCCAAGTTAAATGCTATCCCACGGTGCTCTGTGATAAAACCATAACGACTTCTTATAGCACCTAAATAAATAAAAAAAAAGCCCAATGTTACTCTCTCATTATTTGTATAAAATATAGTACATATTATCTTTAGATATACTCTAGTTCCATAGGTGTACTTACACGTCTTTTTTTTTCCAGCAGTTAACATATTAAACGGAAAATGAAATTTTCAAAACTTTGTACATAACTCTCATAGTTCTATAGTGATATTAAAGCAAATGTTTCTTTTTTAGCTCTGGTCCTTTACTAACAGAACTAGAAAAGTTTTCATGTAAGATCTTTTTGTTTATCTTTAAATCCTCCGTTTAATAAAATCAATGAGTAATCGTTTTTCAAGATAAAGCACATAGTTGATGTTTAACACCTGCACAGAATGCTTTTTTTATTTTAGAGCAATTCTTTGTTTTTTTTTATATAACACCTAAAGAGTAGTTTGCATACGCATTTTTCTAAATAAAGAACTATTAAAATTTAAAAAAATTAAATATTAAACATAAAAACCACACATACAGTTTTAGTCAATGGACTAAACTTTTGAAATTGCTGTCGAAAATAAAATACCATTTGTATACCAATACCAATACATGTTAGAGTTTAGTCTATTAACTATAAAATAGTTTAGCTTTAAAATTAAAATTAATATCTTTATTAGAAGACAACAGTAAAACTTTTTTTAATATTTAGTATATGAAAATGATTTGAAACAAACCATTCCATTTAAATTAATGCTTTTAACTCACAGTGCATAGGAACATGCTCTAAGGCCTTGCAGCACATCCCCTTAAATTTTCTTTTTGTTTATCATCAGATTTAATTTTGTTGTTCACGATAGGTATCTAAGTGCCATGTGGTATACCTAAATTTCCAGTATGTTGATACTGGTATCAAATGAAGATGACTTTCATATATTGAGCTATTTGGTCATTTTTTTTTTTTTTTTGTTATTTAGGTGGCCCAAGAAGACCTAACGGTCTTGTCACTGAGCACCGCGGATGTTTGTTTAACTAGAAAGTTTATGCCTCCTTCCTTACCGTGACGCAAAAATATGTCCAAAGCTCGTTACGAACCTGGATCTCCTGCTTATAAAGCAAGCACACTAACTTATCCACGTAAACGGCCCGCCACAGCCGCACGTAATTTTAGCTAACAAAACCCCGTCCCGACCCTTATTTTTCACTTTCCTAGGAAATACATCTTGTAAGATTATAATTATTTTTAAGTTTTATCATGAATTAAATCAAAATTTACCAACAGATTTCAAATTTCATCAAAAAATCTCCTTTTATTTAGATTTATGACTTTAAGAAGTTGTGAAAGTGTGAAAGAAGTGTAAAGTAATTTTGAGTGGTTGTTACGTTTAAACGAGAAATTTTTTTAATGAAATTTAATATCTGTCAATGATTTTTGATCTAGTTGAATATAACACAAAAAACTTTTTTTAAATTTTCCGTTTAGGAATTCTGGGCTACTAAAGGTCCAATAGGGTTAGTTACAATTACTTTATAGTTGTTAAATATATGTGGTTAAATTATTATTTATATAATATAAATAATAACTTAAATAATGCAAATATTATTTGTATCGGGTGGACACGGAAAAATCCGGTCATCTTTAAATTGAGATTTCTCCAAAACCACAAATGCTTTTTATTTAATTTTTTTTGTTTAATTAAACCTTACTTCCTTATCTTAAATAGTGTTGATAAATTTTTGTTTACAAATTAATGATTTGCAAAATGTTTGGAAACAAGTTGAGGTGCGTAAAAAGTTGTGAATTTTTTTTGCAAAAATCCATCGACTTCCTATCGCTTGATTGCTAAACGCACTAATGTCCCAAAATCTACAGTCATAGATATTATAAACAAGTTCAAGACTACTCAAAGCTTCGAAAGAAAACTTGGAAGTGGAAGAAAAAAAACTTTCCATAAATCCAAAATGGTAAAGTCGATTTTACGTTCAATAGCAAGAAATCCAAATCAGTCACAGCGAGATCTAGCAAGAAAATTTAAGACTTCTTGTTCTTATTTCAAAAAAGTACTTAAAAATGCTGGAATTAAAGCATTTCATAAAAAAAAAATACACCTAAGAGAAGCTTAAAAGCTCTAAAAAAGTTTTACAGTGGTGGAAAGATAATAATGTGAAAATTGTTTCTAAAGATGCGAATCCTCCAAATCGTCCTGAAGAGCGCAAGATTGAAGATTTTTGGGCAATAGTTAAAGAAGTTCTTCGTAAGACAGGTGGACTAACAATTAATAAAAAGGACTTCCAAAAAAGTGAATTAATGCCACCAATATGGTGAAAAAAGGAAAAATCTGTAAAATGATGGCATCAACCCGCTATAAAGTTCGATTTTTTGCCAAGCAACCCATCAAACCCCTTAAAATTAAGTTAAAACTCTAATTTATGTAAACACATTTAATAATAAAAAAATTGAAATAAAAAGCATTTATGGTTTTAGATAAATCTCAATATAAAGTTGACCGGATTTTTCCGTGTCCACCCGATATGTTAAATATCATCATTTCATAACAAAAAATTATGTTAAAAAATTGTTTATAGGAAATTTATACTTTTTACAAGCTGAATGCAAATTGAAAGCTACTTTAAAATTTTTTGTTGTTGTAAATAACAACTGCGTTTGTTAGCACTTCAATATAGTTTGGACTGTGCTCTCCACCTTTTCTCGTTTGCCCAAACTGATTGAAACCCTAGTGAAATGGATTCATGAGTTTGTTTTTTTATGTTTTAACTTGCGTAAACTGTTATTATATTGTAAAAAATAATTACTATTGTTATAAATAATTAATATTATTATAACATTTTATCAAACTTAAAATTTAATTATTATACCGAAGACTCCACCTTTCAAGTCGATGAATTCGATAATATAATGCTCAACTATGTTTACCTTCAAAGGAATTGTAGCCCTAGATTTCTATAGCTCGTAGAGAACTGCTCTATACCTTTAACATAAATAGAGCCTAATAATTTTTCAAAACAGTCATGGAATATTTTTCAAATTTTCTCTGAGTACCTTAATATATTTGACAACCAAATTGTCCGAAATGTATTTGGCAACCAAATTGTCCGAGCAGCCGTGGCGCAGTGGTAGCGCACTTGCCTTAGAAACGTAAGATCCGTGGTTCAAACCCCACCTCTGGGCAAGTTTTACGACATCGGTTGGGAAGGAGGTGTGAACTTCCTATTAAATGCTCTTCCGCGGTGCTCTGCGATAAGACCTAAAGGACTTCTTGGGGCACCTAAAAAATTAAAAAAAAAAAAAAAAAAAAAACTGGGCTCTTGAAAAAAAAACTCACAGTCTATGTCAACTGTCTATGTTTTTAAGCAACTGCAAGCACCGTCTTCAAAACAATGCTGACCTTGGTAGGATACTCTGCTTATGTCTATTCTAGACAGATATCGGTTGACAAAATGTAACCCACACTCGTTGTTTTCAAACAAATTTTTTTTCTATCTTTTTTAAAACTTTGTCTTTAACACCTAAAAGTATATGTAGACTGGTAAAATTTACACTTGTATTAGGGTGATTGATAGAATAACTTTGAAGAATGCCTGCCCTCCACCTACACCTACTTTGATACCAACATTGTTTGTTTCTTAATGTCTGTGATGAAGCACCATTTTTACAAGCTCTTCGACGTCATTGCAATACACCGTAGGAGTATCTTTTTCTACCAACAATAAATGCTTAAAAAATCAATTAAAAATACGTTAAAAAAAAGATAGAAATTCCACGTTTCAAAAAAAATGTAGAAAATTTACCTTTGGATAGGATATGTTGTAATATACCCATAATAAGGTTTAAATTTCTAACTTTCAAGGTAGAAATTTATTTTTTAAAGAAAAAAATTGTATGACGAGAGTTTATTTTTTATTTTAACTTTCTATCTTAGAAGGTAAAAAATAGTACCTTATTAAGGGTGTATCATCCTACCCTAGAGAAGTAATTTCTACCTTTTTTTGTAGGAGTGTATTGCGAAGCATGCATTTTTTTTAATTTAAAGAACGTTACAAAAATTGTATAGTGTTTTAAAAAATCTTTGTATTTGCTTTTATAAAAAGTTGCAAATATTCATAATGAATATTAAGAATATTAAATATTAATAATATTCATAATGAGGGCTACCGTTTCTCATTTGCATGAAGGACAAATAGTTATTTTATGTTTAAAATCCGTTTTTCTGATTCAAGACAAATGCGCTAACAGACTCTTAATAAAAACATAAAGTTACATAAACTCATTAGATTTAAATGTTCTTGTTAAATTTATTTAAAAGTGTTAGATTATCTTTTAAATGTTACTTCTGTGAGCAAAACTCTTGTTAAACAGTCATTTGAGTATCGTTTATTTAAAACTATACGATCAAGGCTATTTAAAATTAGCAAGTCTAAAAAATTATAACGTTTCAGCAATAACATATGACTGGTACAAGACTGTTTATTCGCTGAAACTTTTAAGACGTTTTTAAATAAAACATTTAGCTCATAAGCATTTTCACTTTCAAATATTAAATAACAATAAATAAAACACATAAGCCAACGCGATAAAAACAATATCTCTTCAAAATGCGACTAATAAGACAACGTAATTTCAACCACGATCAAAACGTAACGCTTTAGAATTCTAACAAAAAAAAAAAAAAAACGTTGGCGTTAAAAGACGTTGGGTATTGTCAAATCAGAAATCCGTTAAACTACAAGTTTACAACGGTTGGTCCTACCAATACAGTTGTGTGCAGAAAAAACCTGTGCGGTCATGTAGTGTAAAATGTGGTTTGCTCAATAGTAAAAAATAAAACGTTCATATCATCATAATAAAGAGATAGAACTTGAAATTTTCAATCTACGTGTTCACAAAGTCAGCTGTGTCAACTCTAACTAAAAAAAAAGGACAAATAAAAAACTTCCCTTAAAACTCTAAAAATTTATTTATGTTTTTAATTTACTGTTTTCATTTTCACCAAAGGTTTTTTATATAAGTGTGAAGTTTGGTTTTTGTTTAAACTGAATAAAAACCTAAATTTAAATCTCAATTCTAAAAACGAAAAAAGAAGCAGTACCAAAGTCTTAGTACCGTGAATTTATAAATGCAAAATCATTTACTTTTTATAATGATTTTTTATCATGTCCCTAATATTTTTTATTTCAAATTTGATTAGTGGTTCTAAAACTTCAGAACAATATCAGCATGGCTACGTCATTGTAAGTACTTATATTTTACTCGAAAACGATTGGTTTGTTGAAAACTTCATTTAGTATTGAGCACACAGACATAATTGTTGTTAAATTACTTATAAACAAATGAACAAATTCTTTGTGACACAATGGTTGAAAAGAAGTGTTAACATGGAGCTCATGGATAAGATATTTATAAACTAACGTGATTTATTAATCCCTTATGATTTTACTTTTAAGTAAATTTAATTTGCTACTTATTTGTGTTAAACTTTAAACCAGATTAATTGAGGCATAAAATTTACATAGCGACAACTTTAGCAACTAAATTTATAGATTTTTTAAAAATGATATAAAGTACATTTAAATAGTTTTATTTTTTTTAGTTTTAAATTCTGTTTAACTTTTGTTATTAGGTTTAATAAGAAAGATAAAGATGTACGTGAGTACTGTTATTACTAATATAATTAGTTTTGATCTCCATTAACTTTTCAGTGCTTTTTTACTATTTTAAAAGTTAAAAATTCCCTTTTATATATGGGGAATTAGGTTAGTAGAATATTAGATTGGGAATACCTGTTAAATAGATATCTGATATCTGAGAATTTTCAAGCAGGTATGCTATAAATAAACTGAAAATGTTTGATATATGCAATTTTGATTGTTAAAAAATTGTTTGAAAATGTTAAGATTTATAAAAAAAACTAACTTTAATTTTTAAGTTGTTTTGCAATTTAAAATGGAAAACAAAATGAGTTTAAAAACTTTTTTTCATTCCTAATTAAAACTATTGATTGCAAATTTTTGAAGCAATATTAGTCAGGTTGCATTTTTTTTTTAATTTTACTTTTTTTAACCGTTGTTATAAAATTTTAATGTATGTAATTGTAATGAAAATTTTACAAACATAAATCAATAGTGAATACATTTTTGAAATATTATCTTATATTTATCGTATTATATTATTTTTATTTTAAAAAAATACAATTGTTTATACTAAACGTATCTGGGTTGAATGAAAAAAAGAAAAAGCAAAATTAAACACATTCCATACTTACATTTACTGATGATTTCGTTAGGACAGGATTTAATCACAAATATAATCTTAAAAACAATTAATCAACAAGTTTTTTACCAAAACTTTGCAAAAATTTTACCAAGTATCCGAACTTAAAATTCGAGAAAAGAAATGTTCAGTTTGTTAAAAAAGAATGTTAAATTTTGTTTATAGCATATCTTTTTCGATTATATACAAGTTTTTATATATATATATATATATATATATATATATATATATATATATATATATATATATATATATATATATATATATATATATATATATATATATATATATATATATATATATATATATATATATATATATATATATATATATATATATATATAAATTAGCATGTATTTAAATGGTTTGTGTATTTAACTAAATTTTCAGTATTTTTTTAATAAATAGTTAGTATTCGATCGCTAAAACTTTCAGTCTTTTAAACTTTGATGACTTTTAATGTAACTTGTTAACATTTCAACTTTAAGAGAATAAAATTTAAATTTGGTTTTCTTTCAAATAAAAAAGTTTCCGTCCAAATAAAAACTCTAACCCAATATATGTGCACTCTGCTGATTTTATGGATGTATCAGTCGATGCATGTACACTTTGCTGAGCCTATGGAGCAAAATGTTAAAAAATATTCAAAATATAGGCTATTCGGTTGAAATGAAAATAAAATCATCAATAGTTAGTATAAAATTAAGTTATTTGATATTATTTGAATACAAAATTCTTATAGATTATTTAGAATAAAAAAAAAAAAAAAAAAAAATGAAAACGCCATAAACCGGTTTAAAAAATATATATATAATCAGATGACATCAAATTAGGCTTCAGTTGGACATTTGAAATTTGTGTCTATTTTTTGTAAATGTTTTTCTTTTTTTGTAGATCAAGATAATAAGTTTATGTTTTTGTAAATCTTGTTATGTGACACGAGTATTTTAAATTTATATATATATATATATATATATATATATATATATATATATATATATATATATATATATATATATATATATATATATATATATATATATATATATACATATAATAATAATAATATTATATATAATAATATATACAATAAAATAATTTAATTGTTTATTTCAACAATTTATTTAAACGACTTAATAATTCATACAAAGTTTGCAATAAAAGTGAACTATATTAATTAAAAAAACTTTTATATTTTTAAGCAATATATAAGATGCAAAATATAATATTTTTATGCAATATTTAGAAATAATGCAAGTATTCATTAAAACTAAAAGGGATCCTTTTTTTTAAATTTTTATTTGCTCAAAAAATGAGCAAAAAAGACTTAAGATTTTTATACATTAATTAACTTTTAATTGAAAAAGTTTTACAATATATTTATGTAAAATAATTTTTTTTTTTAGAATAAAAAATTTATTGAAATGCTTATAATTTCGCAAATTTATATTATCGCATTGGTATGTATTTTTTTTTTAATTATTTAACAAAAAAACGCTTGCATTTTTATAATATAATAAAAGATCATGGGAGGTAAAAAGTGCGCATGCAGTTAAACCTTATAAAATAAACTTTTTTTGTTTAGTTTTGTTTTGAAATCTCTAACAGAGTATGTAAAAAACCATTAAAGTTTCAACTGTAATTGCTTGTAAACGTTTTCAGTTTAAGAATCAGTTATACTTTTCTGTAAGACTTTTTTTTTTTTGCTTTTACTATTTAATCAACCCTTAGTTTAAAAAAAAAAAAAATATATCGAAACATCAATAAATGAGCATTTTAGGATTACATGTTATTTGTACTGTACGTACATGAATTTCAATAAAGTTTGACGTCACAAGTTAAAGTGTTATTAATGATGCTACTACTACTTATTGTTGTAATTAAAACAATGCAAAATTGGACATGAGTTCATAAAGCAAGGTTCTTTTAGTGGGAAAAAATACCGTTCAAGCAAACTAATGACCATTTTTTTTTAGATTCTGCCCCATCAAAATTGAAGGTTTTAAAAATGTGGTTGTACTATTGAACTAAACGCTCTGATCGCTCAAGTTTGTCTTGGCTCAAGGAAGCATAACGAAATCAAAAAAACTTTTTTAATCAATTTAAGTAAAATAGCTTTATAAAACGCAGTTTATACATCATTTTGCATTATAATAATTATTAGTTATTCAAAATAAATTCAATAAACCAAAAATGAAATTGCGTTCTGAATTCAGAAAGCTGCTTGGAGGTGTATGTTCGACTATACTTTTTTAATTATGCATCTTTTTTGGTTTTACATATGGCTTGATTTCTTTTTAGTTTTAGAGGAAATAATTTTTTTCCAGGAGTTTGTTATTTTTGGTAACCTTAGTCCGCACAATTTTGTGGCAATACAGCTTTGCACAAAAGTTTAATCGAGATAATTTTAATCAAAATTTTTAGAGTTTTTTTAACTAAAAAAAAATCAGAAAAATAAATTTAATTAATTTTTTTATTTTTGAAAGAACAATCTATTAACTTTACAATTAACATTAATAAGATGAGATATTTTGAAAAAATAATTCAAAAAAGTTAAATAAATAACTATATAATCATAAATAAGTTGCATAAAAGTTTAATCGAGTTAAGGTTTAGAACACAAAAAATTAAAAAAAATATATAAATTTAATATTTTGGCTCCATAGCAAAGGAGAACTCGTCTCTGCCTTGATTCGACCAATTTCATGCACATCTCATGTAGCACTTTTAACAAGTACTCGTACTGAAGTTGCTTCAAATGCTCAGTTGATTGAATTTGATGGTTTACCAATTGAGTGTCAATCCATGACCAATTATTTTTTATTGGGTTGATACCTGTAAAAATGTTTTAATTACAAAAAACTAAAATCTAAAGAACAACTGCAATATTTTAAATTGCAATTTGCTTGCAAATGGATAGAATAGCAATGTCAGAGAATTCTCAACATCAGGTCAGGTTTGATGTCAGGTCACACAAACACACATACATGCATAATAGATAGCCAGGAGTCCCAATGCAGGGGACATTGGGGCTCCTGGTTGAGTAAAGGCTAGAGATGGTGTCTCGATAAAAATATTTATCTTGGGCAGATGTTAAATGCATTCGGCTGCTGTCTTGTAAAAGGTCTCCTAGGCAAAGAATTAAGGAATAAACAGATTAAATTTGTTGATCAGCCTCGCACCCTTTCTTCATCTATTAGTTTTCATCTAGAAGTTTCTTCCGTTTATATTTTATGCTATTTTTTTAAAACGAGGTGATAACTTGTTTTTATTTTTAACCCAGATTGAAATTGTGTTCTTTGAGACACCATAATTTTGGACAACCTCTTTGTTTGGCATCCTTTTCTCTAGGTAATTTAATGCCTTCCATTTTTCTATTATGAATTTGTTTGTTAGTTTTCGTTTAATGAACGGCATGTAATCGTGTTTGACAAAGACAATAAATTATTCTTTTAAAAAAATACTTTTCAGAAATCCTTATAAAAAAATAATACTCATAAAAAAAGTAAATCTTATTAAAACAATTTATTGAAACTTTTCAAAAATTAAAATTTTAAAAAATTAAATGTTACTAAATCATTTCTTAAAAAAAGTTGTTGAAGAGTTCGAGATAACGAGAGAAAATTGCCCTGTGAACTAAAAAAATGTTCACGATACCAAAAAGTTTGAGATGCTAAGATTTAAGATATCGATAGGACTTTAGCCCAAACAAGTACATGTGTCCAGGAGACCGCAAAAAAAGTTCAAGATATCAAGTATTTGAGATACTGAGTGTTAATTATACCTTAAATGCATAACCTTTACTACATACCTTTAATACATAACCGTTAAAAGTTAACGTTTAACACATACCTTAAACACATAACCTTAAAAGTTAACGTTAAAGACATACCTTAAATGCATAACCTTAAATGTTAACAATAAACATGTTCCTTAAACACATAATCTTAAACACATATCTTAAATACATAACCTCTGCACATAAATATAAACACATACCTTAAATACATACTTTTTACACATAAGCAAGATGGCTTTAGATAACAAGTAAAAGCAAACACAAGCTAGGTTATGTAAAAAAAGTAGTGTTGACGTCATAAAGCTTTGATTTCTACCTCAGAAAAAACTTTCAAAATTATCTCCTTCCAAAAAAAAATTTTAAGAGACACTTAGAAATTTATAAGTACCAATGTTGTATCAACATATCTGAATTGATGAACTTTATTTAACACTTGTATTTTTGTGTCATGTAAATTATTTTTTAGACATGTTGTAATGAACAAGTACATGTACATGTTGTAATGTACAATGTATTTTAGACATGTTGTAATGTCTAAAAGCAGTTAGGAAAATAAATTAATGCAAAAAACTAACCCTAACCTTTGATAGTCATAAATGATGTCTATTGGTTTGTTAGCAAATTCATGTTTAAGGTGGCATTCACTATAATTATAAAAATAGTAGCATTTTTTGCTATTGTCTACTAAATCTTTTTTAATATGTTTTTGACAATGAAACTTTTAGAGGTTTAAACTAAAGATATTTAAAACAAAAAATCTGAAATTTTCAGCCTTTTGTTGAAAAATTTAGGGATGAAAACATAGTTCAGAATATTGATTAGAATTAGGCAAGATTTTCTTCATAATAATTTTTTATAGCAATCAATAATGCTGTTATAAAGAGAATGTAGGATATTTTTGTTTGAAAAATAATGTTACAGGAGTTAAAACCTTAAAAGCAGATTTTTAAGAAACAATACTTATATAAAATTACTTATATAAAAAATTTAAAGTCTGCTTTTAACATACCATTCTAAATATGTATGTGGATGTATGCCCGAAATTTTAATCGAAAAAAACGAGTACTCTAATCTGGGTATTCTGCGCAGTGATGCTACTCACAAAAGTTTTTAAATCGATGTTGTTGTTTTTTTTAGAAAATTGCAAAAATACTCTTCAAAATTTATTTGAAATTTAGACGATCAAACATGAACACGATTTTACATAAAAAGCTTTCAGTGCAGCCAAGCTGTATTTAGGAAAAAATTAATAATATAAAAATATTCTTAGAAAGCATAATAAAATATGGCAACTAAACAAACGAAAATCTCCCAAAATAAAAATTACTGTTTAAATTTAAAAAAAAGTTATTTATAGGCTTCCCTGAATATTTTGATCTGTAAAATTACCCAAAAAAAATACACCTTTTTTTGTTGATGAAAGTATAGTATATCTCCAAAGTAAGACTATATATGCTTAAACTAAATGAAACTTTATTAAAGTATTTTGAAGCTAGATTTACTATGCAGCTCAATAGTTAATGTGTTTCTTTTAGGTTACATTTTTGAATTTTAAATTTAATATATACATATGGTAATCTTTTATGGTTCTGACATAATCATATAAATCTAAAGTATATACATATTTTTTATTAAAACAAGTTTGTAAAAAATATAACGCTTAAGTGAATATACAAGTTACAAAATTAAAAAAGTGAGAGAAGCTTTGTCGATTGTTATGCATAATAAATAATAAAAAAAATTGAAAAATTACAATTTTAAAATTATATTATTTTATTTTTGATTATCATTAATGTTTCTGTATTTTTGAAAAAGTATGTTTCGACGTTGAGCTCAAGACTAAAAAGCCGCATCTCAATTCTTTTTTGAAGTGTAAAATTTTATCTGAGAATAATACATTAAGCGTTAATTGCTAAACTATGCTCTTTGGTAGGGATGTTTTATGATTAAGTAACAACAACAACAACGACAACAAAAATTTTTACTATAGTCCACATCTTACCTTATACGATCTTTTTTTTTTTATATTTTATATTAATTTAATTTTTTTTTTATATTTTATAATAATTTAATTTTTTTTTTTTTTTTTTTTTTTTTACATAGTTGGAGGTGCCTTAGTTACTGTATTACTAAGTAACTAAGGCACCTCCAACTGTATCACCTGTAATCTACGTTATATGTATGTTTGTGTTCTGTCTGAACCTCTGGCGCGGTGTTCGCTCACCCGTAAGTTATTTTATGTTTTTTATGTATGTTTGTGTTCTGTCTGAACCTCTGGCGCGGTGTTGACTCACCCGTAAGTTGATTTATGCTTATGTTTGTTTGTGTTCTGTTTATACTTTAATGCAGCGTGAGCTCAGTAACTAACTACTTACTCCAACTACAAAACCTACACTCACCTTAGACTCCTGTATTTTGTTAGATACAGTGTTTTTCCTAATGCACTTACAAAATGTCATGCCTGGTTTTCTCAAAGTACTGTTGCGGGAAGTAGCTCCTTTTAACTACTCCAGGTCAGGTCAGGATAATCGAGATCAATCTTGCTACTGGTATCACGTAACCCAGTACCACCTGCCACAAACCCTGCTGCCTTGCAGAGTGTGCTCTTCTTATGCAAAGGCTAGGAGAAATAAACTCCGACTAAAAATTCCCCTGCCTTGG